AGGAGGAGGAGGAGGAGGAGGAAGAGAAGGAGGAGGAGGAAATGGATGCGGAGGAGGAGGAGGAGGAGGAGGAGGAGGAGGAGGAGGAGGAGGACATCCCTGAGCTCCGCGGCGCTGCCCCCCCCCCTCCGAAGAAGTTGCTGGACCGGGGCCCGGTGCCCATGAGCGCCTCGCGGGCACTCTCGCGGCGCGGCGCGCGCGGGCTCATCGGGTGGGGGGGGGGGGGAGGGGGAGAGCGGAGGGGAGGAGGGGGGAGGGGCCAGGAGAAGGGGGGAGGGCAAGCGGGAGGCGAGAAGGGGGGGCGACAGTCTATGTAAGCATAGAGACTCGGAGGTCCGCGCGGGTTCCTCGGATCCGCGCGGGGCCCCCCCCAGGCGGCGCCTCCGGCGCCGCCCTCAGCGCGCTCAGCGCGCCAGGGAGGGGGTTCCAGCGCGGATCTGACAAATCCGCGCGGACCTCCGAGTTTTTATGTTCATGTCGTTCTTCGATCCCCCAATGAAGGAGCGGGCGAGGGAGAGAGTCAGGATGCAACTCCTGGGAGGTCTTTTAAAAAAAAAAAAAAAAAAAAAAAAAAAAAAAAAAAAAAAATGCTGACTCCGATGAAGGGGCCAGTAAGCCGGATCAGCCTAGGTGGAGCCCACGACTAAATTAGACGAAACCGGGCTAAGCGGAGTTAGGCGGAATCAACAGGGAGTATATGCCGGATTGGGCTGTTTTTTCTACCACGTATATAGCAGCCAGCGCCGATGCTGAATTTAGCCTCCGAGGAGTTGCATCCTCAAAGGGGCACGCGGAGCATGAGGAAGCGGGCAAGGGAGAGATGATGAGAGAGGGAGAGAAAGGAGGGGTGAAGGGGGAAGAAAGCGCGAACGGGAGCCACCGGGGGCGGCGAGCATGCAGCAGGCCTGGCACTCAGGTGGGCGTGGGGTACTAAATTGAGGGCGGAGTCAGGCCTCCTGCTCCTCCAAATCAGAAAATATTTCGTTAGTATGTGCACCGTCGACTCATGACAGAGGCGTAATGGAGCGAAGGATGGACAGTGAAATCTGGCGGAACTAGAAGGAATAGGGAGCATCTCGTCTACATGGGGAACAGTGGACGAGTCCGTGCAGAAGCAGTGTACGATACACATTGAACCAATTGTGCCAGTCGGACCTATCGCGGACAGTTGCCCAGATTCGCGTTCCTGCAGGTCTAAGCGCCCTCAAAACTGCATGGTGATGGTGATGGGTGATGGTGATGGTGATGGTGATGGTGATGGTGATGGTGATAATGATGGTGATGTTGATGCTGGTGTTGGTGTTGATGACGAAGGCGATGACGAAAGCTATGACGATGACGATGGCGATGATGATGAGGATGATGGTGGTGCTGATGGTGATGATGATGATGATGGTGATGATGATGATGCTGCTGCTGCTGATGATGATGATGATGATGATGATGATGATGATGGTGATGCTGGTAATGCTGATGCGGCTGATGATGGTAAAGGTGCTGAGGATGTTGTGCATGATGATGGCGATACTATGGATGATGGCGATGATGAAATGAATGGTGGAGGTGATGATGAGATGATGACGGTAACGAGGCGTGGTGATGCGCCTCGAAGCGGCCCACTGACGATGCTGGTGGCGGTATGGATCATGGTGATGCTGGGAGGGGTGATGGTGATCGGAGTAAGGTGAAGATGGTGATGACGAGATATGGATGGTGATGGTGACGGATGGTCTAGTCATGTCCAGGCGCAGCAGGCGCACGAAGCACACCGACGAGGCACACTAGGCGCACTGGCTAGGCACACCGACAATGCACACCAGGCACGCCGACCAGGCACGTCAGGCACACCAGGCACACCGCCCAGGCACATCAGGCATCCCGCCCAGACACACCAGGCACACCGACTGGGCACACACACACACACACACACATCAGGGAGCCTTCGCTGCCCGCGGAGCTCACCCAGAAGCCCCTCCGCCTCCTCCCGCCAGTGACGCACGCCGCCGCTGCTGCCCCCCTCTCCTCCCCGGGCCCCGGGGAGACCGTCCAGCTCAACTGCTGGGACGTCCTCGTCCTGAAGCGTGATGCTGCGCGAACTCAGGGCCGATGCCTGAAGCGTTGGTGATTATCCTCCTCACTCCTCCTCTTCCTCCTCCTCCTCTTCCTTCTCTTCCTGCTCCCTTCCTCTTCCTCCTCCTCTCCCCCCTGCTCCCTCCGCATCCGATTAGGCGTCGCGGGCGATACCCGGGGGGGGAAGCAAGGTGCACTTCTCGGGCATTACGCGAGGCCCAAGCCGAGCACCTCCATACCTTGGCATGAAACCGGCGGGTCCTGACGACAACGGGTCCACGGACCCTGGGGACTTCCCCTGGGCCCAATTCCGCAGCACACATCATGTTTAACAGCCTTCAGGGAAGCCGAAAACGGCGAAACAATCGAGGACCCGTTATCCTCCAGCGCCCGGTTTGCTTCCTGGCCGGGCCAGCGGAGTGAGCGAAGCGAGTACGCAGAATTAACATCACTATGCACAACAATTATCAAAAAGTCGCCCCGTGACTCGTTAAAACTATTGTTGGATTGTCCTCCTGTAGAGGGACATGCCCGACTTGAGTCGATTCCCCCTACACCCTGCGAAATGCTTAAGAAATCATGGGTTCAGAAATTCATAGTCTCAGAACTTGAATAAAAAAACAACATCTCTATTAAAACCTTAGGTTTTACATCATTGGAACATTAAGAATAATCGAGACTCTGCCCGAAAACTTAGGTTTTCTTAAGCATCGCCTAAGGTGTAGACGCTGCCTCGTGTAGAGGGACCTGCTGTAGAGGGACCTGCCCGACTTGAGTCGATTCCCCCTAGACTGAAGGGGCCCTGGGACACACAAATAAATACACACAAACAGAAGGATTCCCCATATTTTCCCATATTTTCTTGGTTTCTGTCTTCCCCCCCACTTCCCATATTTTCCCATATTTTCCTGGAAGAAGACGATTCATTGTGTCTGTGTGTTTTTTCCCCTCCTGATAGACGCTGCCTCGTGGTCTTCGGCTCGCGCCACGGCTCACCGAGGGGCCGCCCGGGCCGACCTGGGCACCACACCAGAGGAGCGCTCTCGACGAGGCGCCGCTGCGGGAGCCAGCGGAGGCCACAAGTGAAGGGGCCCCAGGACACACCAATACATACACACACATAAAAAAGATTCCCAATCTTTTCATATTTTTTTTTTTTTTTTTTTTTTTTTTTTTCTGGGTTTTTGTCTTCCCCCCCACTTCCCATATTTTCTCACATTTCCCTGGGGATCGACGATTAATTGTGTCTGTGTGTGTTTTTCCCTCCTGAAGAAGGCCGTGGGAGCCGAGGAGAAGGCCTGAAAACCTCGCACCTCGAAGCTTCGTCGCCCCCTGAACCCGTCCCCCCCCCCTTAACTTAGTAGGCACCTGCTGGGAGGTCTTCGTCGGAAAGACTACGGAGGATGAAGCCCCACTGGGGGGCTGCTACGCCGGAGTGGGCCTCGGATGAAGCGGGATTCAGCTGGATTAAAGGGGACTGCACGGGATTAAGCCGGATGAAATGGGATTAAACCGGATTAAGCTGATGTCGGACCAGTGCAAGTTTCGACACACCCCTCACATGGTTCGTGGCCCCATAGGGAGCTCCACCGAAGGCGCCAATCGCCGCGTCCGCATGCGTCATCCCCACCAACCGCATGCCCATTTCGGTAATTACACCCCTCACACGTTTCGTGGCCCCACACGGAGCTCCACCGCCCACCGCACGTCCATTTCGGCACACCCCTCACACGGTTCGCGGCCCACCGACGGCCCCAGTGGCACAGTCCACATGCGTCCTCCCCGCCCACCGCACGTCCATTCTGGCACCCGTTCGTGGCTCAACGGGGAGCTCCAGTGCATCCATTGCATCCACGGTTCGTGGTCCAATAGGGAGGCCCTTCGAGAGATGGGCCCAGAGCACCGTATCCACAACTGCTTGTGGTTGGGTCCCTCGTGAGGATAATCTTATCGGGGGTCTAGGTTTAAAGGTGCCCCAGAGAGGTCCCGCAAACGAACATCCAACAGGGCCTGGCCCAGGGATCAGCTTTCCATCCCGAACCGTTCTCTTGACGGCCCCGGGGCCCGTGGAAGGCTCCCCTGGGCCCGAAGACAGCGAGAACCTTGCAGGACCCGTCTCTTCCTGAGGACCCGTCGGCTTCATGGCGAGCCCTGGTCCTGGACCTAGGTCGGGCATGTCCCCCTACAGGTGGATTTTGGAGAAAAAATCAATCAAACACTGCTCCAAAGCATTCAAGCATAAATAAACAAATCGTTCCCCGACTTGTTTAAAACCATGCTTGAGTACTCTGCCTGTCGATAGACACACCTGACTTAACGTTAGCTTCATGGCGAGCGAACCCTGGTCCAGGACTGTCGGGGATGGACAGAACCCCCTTTAGTAAAACGTGGTTTAGTGAAAACGACCTCGGGCCCAAATCTGGCGGGCGAAAGCCTGGAAACTGACGGCCGCGGCGCCCTCTCGAGAACCGAAAACGGACAATTCACTAATCGACGTGTCACTGTTGGGGGTTCTGTCCGCCCCCGAAACTGAGGGGCAAAGACTGGGGGTCCGGCTCAGAGGGGGAAACATCGAGCTGACACCGGCAACGCATCGCCCACGGATGGGCAATGGGCCCCCGACAGCGAGCCCGCACGGTCCCGGGCAGGACGGAGCCATCGGGCCCAATGCTGACAATGCACGCGGATCCCCCACAGGCGGATCTTGGGCGGAAAAAATAGCATAGCAACAAATGCACATGATCAGAAAGAAGATAAAAAAAGTCCCCTGGCTATCTTAAACTATTTTGTGAGTATTCCTCCTGTAGAAGGACGTGCCCAGTTTAAGCATATCCCGCCCTAACGTTGCTCCTGATGGAACTTCCCCCCTTCCTCCCCCGCAGCGCGACCAGTGTGCGAAACGCGCGCCTGCTGCCTGATCTCGCCCATGTTCACCGCCGCGGAGGCCGCCTTCTCCATGGCCGCGGCATCGAGGACGCCGTCGGCGGGGATGATGGGCACGTTGGTGGTGAGGGCCACCTTTGTAACGGGTCCCAGGCAAACGCAAATAAATACACACTAATCCCAGGATTCCCTATATGTTTTCATATTGTTCTGATGTTCGTAAATGTGTTCCCACTCTTCCATATTTCCCAATCTGTTCCTGGGAGTCGACGACTGCTTGTGCCTGTGTGTTTCTTTCCCTCCTGACTTTGGCGCGCCCCAGATTCGCCACCGTGCCTCTGGCTCGAAGCGGAGGGCCCCAAGGCTGTGCAGCTGCACTGCTGCTGCAGCCAGGACTGCAGTGTCGTAAGGGCCCATAGCTCCGGAGTTCCAGGCCGCCTCGGGCGCCGCCGGGCTCCTCCAGGGTATCCAGAGGGCAGAAAATCCACCCCCATAATGATCACTCCGGCTAAGCGAAGTCATGTATTAACGGGCGAAGAGCGGTATAACATAAACTTTGTCGCTGTCGGGGGCGCCTGTCCCAGGGCGGCTGGAGACTTTATACCCTTACGGTGGCACGTGGAAAGAATTAACTTTCCAGCCGCTCTGAGGCAGGCGCCCCCGGCGACCGAACAGTTCATTTGGTACCGCAAACAAGGCAGGGCTGTTTCGTAAACGCCCAGGGCCGTTTAGTAAACGCCAATTGTCGGGGCCTGGATGGTTAACCAGCCTCGAACGTATCCCTATCCCTAAGATGAGCGAGCAAAAAGCGAGGACAATCTTAGGGATAGGCCCTCAAAAACTGAGGGAATCCTTAAGATCGTCATCGAGGTGAGGTGATGTCAAACATAGAGATAGGGATATGTTTCAAACTGGTAAATGGTGCTTCCTCCCTAGCACATCCCCCGTAAAATTCTGGTGTTTTACCTGCCGGTCCTCTGAGCCCTGTGTCCGCCGAAGATGACCTCCCGAGCCCTCGGAGGTGTCCCAAGAGGGTTGCGCTGGCGGAGATGCCGCTCCGGAGCGTCCAAGACTGCACTGACGGCCGTAGGGGCCTCCAAGACGGCCCGAGAGGCCTCGAAGTCCCAAGAGGGCTCCAAGAGACAACGATCAATGACTTCCCTGAGGTCGTTGAGAGATTTGAAGCGTTTCCGCCTTTTCAAGTTTCCGACGCTCCACGACGGCCCAAGAGGCCCCCAAGATCGCCCCAAGACGCCTCAAAAGGCCACTGAGGAGGGTGCCGAAACGGCCCAGGAGGCCCCCAAGACGGCCCAAGAGACCTCCAAGACGGCTCAAGAGGGCCCCAAGAAAGCCCCAAGAGAGATCCTAGAGGGGTAACACGAACCGACGTTTCGAGCTCTGCGCTCAAGACCCAAGAGGCCCCCAGGAGGCCGAAGATGCCGCGTCAAAACTGCCCCCCAATAGCCACCGAGAGCCCTTCGAAGAGGCCCCAAGAAACATTCATGAGAACTCTGACCCACAACCCAGTCACAAAGGCGGGATGGGCCGAAGGCCATTTGAGAAGGGGCGGATCGTCCGAACGGAATAAACCCCGACGAAGACCCAACATTCCGTGCGAACTCACTCCGTACGGACTGAGGCTAAGGCTGGACGAAGTAAGCCCGACGAAGACCGAGCAATCCGTGCGGACTGACTCCGTTCGGACTTGGCGCAACCACATGCGATCCCTGCCCCTGCAGGTCGGATGTTTGAAAAACAACATGCTTGGGTTCAGAATTGGAAGGATGTCTGCAGCCAGATGGAACCCCAGCCTTTATGTCTGACGCCCCAGCTTCGATCGGGCATGTAATTGGGAATTGGGGGCAGGGTTCGGCAGAGACGAATCGCAAAATGGGTACGGAAAAGATAGGCACGATGCCCAGAAGCGAGCGTTGCCCAAAACTGACAGCGTCCGATGCTGGGCGGGAGACCTTCTGCCTCGAATGGGCAGCAACGTCCGCGGTGACACCGAAAGCGGGTCCTGCTTAGAGTCGGCAGGAGGTGCTGTCGGTCTTCGTACCACTCGCTCCGTGCCCCTGTCGATCGTCACTACACCTGGGAGGGGGGTGGGCTGCAGGCGGGGGGGGATAAAGCATACAGTCGCGGCTGGAGCTTCAGGGCATCCGAGGAGACGATCAACTCTTCTCGCAGGAAGGCCGGTCGAGACGATGATGAAACTTCCTGGAGTTTTCTGTTTTTCCTGTACCTCCTGGAAGCTTCTCGTCGCCATGGCTGGATCCACATCAAAAAACGGGCCGGGTCGGAGCCGGGGACCCGGAACCGACTTTGAGCGGATTTGGGCCAGGTGGGAGAAGCACCGTTGCCTCCACTGGCCCTGCTCCGTGAAGGCCAGAGGACACACGATACAACAACACACGGATGGAGAGGACGTGCGTAAAGGCACCAATGTTTTGCGAGATCGGCCTGCTCATCGGTCCCTGCACTGCGTGTAGCCATGGAGGCCGAACGACGCAATCATACCACCGACGCGTTACGGCTCACTGAACTCCGCACGACGCAAACAGAACTGTCTGCCTCGTCCTCTCCATCCTTCCTGAACTCATCACTGGCCTTATTGGAACAATCGTCTGCGTCGGCATGGAACATCTTCAGAAAACCGTGCGAATGCAAGTAATGTGTGATCAAAGACACCAGACCTCTGGCAAAACCAGCCCGCCGAATCAAGTCAGCTCGGCGATCTTATAGTTAGAGCCATTCCACCAACACGCCTGACTCGTTCACAACTCACCCCGACAACCGAGCACTCTCAAGAGAGCCCTGCCGCTCTCCTTGTGACCCGAGCTTGAAACATGCCACTGCTTATGCGCGTCACGAGAGGGGGCCACGACATTCGAGTTCCAAGCGCAGCAGAACCCCTCTGCGACTCGCCATCGAACGAGCCCCCTGCATGCCTCCTCTGGAGGAGCTGCTGGCCCGGAAACTCATACCCGTGATCGCTTGAGCCTCCGCAGAGCGCACGAGCGCAGAGAAGGGAGGGGGCCAGAGCAGGCAGCGGGCTCCAGAACTCTATAGCTTGGCCTCGCGCGCGCGCCCATGAGGGGGCACAAGAGGTCTGGGCAGAAGGGGTAAAAAACAGGCAGCCACCGCTGACGACGGCGACGATGGCAGACGACGACGGCGACAGGAAAGGGAGGGGAAGAGAGGATGAAGGGGCCCTGGGATACACAAATAAATACACACACATGACAGGATCCCCTATATTTTCACATATTTTTGGGATGTTCGCCTTCCCCCCCACATCCGATATGTTTGCATATTTTCCTGAGAATCGACGATTACTTCTGTCCGTGTGTTTTTGTCCCACCTAAGAGGAGGCCAGAGCAGGAACGAGCACGGGAGGGAGCGGGCGAGGGCTGGGCTGAAACCTCCCGCCTCCTCTGCTGTGATGGGCAGTGCCGGTGGGAGACTGGCGCAGGGTGGACCATCAACCAGACATCGGCGATACCTCGCGGACAGATCGGCGATAGGCCCGATGGCGAATCCGCACGCTCCTGGGCGGGGTGGGTTATCGGGACCCAGTCGGCGATCAATGGGCGATTGAACGTCGATGCAGAAGGAGCCAACTGACGCCACCCCCGCGCCGCCGTCTGGTAGCCGCGCATAACCTCGGACTTCTCCTCCTGGCGCGCCACCAGGGGGGAGGCCCTCTTCGCCACCCGCGCCCACCGGAGCCGAACTGCGCAGCGGGCGCAGTGGGGGCGGCGAGGAGGACAGAGGAGAAGAAAAACAGAGTAGAGGAAATGGAATTTAGACATCCGCGACCCGGCAGCAGGGATCTTCCTCCCCGTCGAGGGACCAAAGCTCGGTCACCCGCCGCTCGGTCGTCCCCTCTATTCCTTTTTTTACCTCTTGGTTGTTGTTGACCGTCCCCCGGCAGGGGCCGGTGAGTGCTCGGTGCCGGCCGCCAGGAGCGACTATTGCCTGGCGACTGGCCACCAAACGTCAGCTGCCCTCGGGAGAAGGAAATAAGACTGAGGCGATCTGGGAAGGAGGCGGAAGCAGCGGTTCTGCTGGACAGCTTCCTCGGAATCGGAAAGATGCGGAAATGCTTGAAGAAGATGCCCAAGAGAAAGGAGCAACGTCAAATTGCGACTAACAAACCAGGCACGTGAGCAAACATGTTCGCAGTCGGGTTCGGGCGTTGCGTAATGGAGGGGGAACAACTGGGGGGAGAGGAAATATGCGCTTTCTGATCCTTACAGGGGCGCCCTGAGGCCAAAAAGGTGCAGATTTCCCCACACACACACACAAACACACAAACACACAAACACACCTTTCCTTCTCTCTCTTTTCTTCTCCCTCTCCTTCTCTCTCTCTCTCTTTTTCTCTTTCTCTCTGTCTTCACTGTTTCCTTCCCTCTTGCACGGCCTGAGTCTGCTGTTGAGTTATCTGACGCACCCGCTCGCTGAGCGCAACTCTCCTTTCTCTGCCTGCGCGGACCCGTCACGTCCAGCCCATCCATCCGCGAAGCCAAGAGAACTTTCGCCTGACACGTGACCCAGCCCAGCGCTGCGCGACGGTGCCGCCACCCCCTGGCGGGGCCGTGAGTCTGGCGACGATGCCGAGGCCCACGAAGAGGCCGCCAGACCTCCACTCCGGGCCCCCGAAGACGGTCCAAGAACGCACCGAAATGACTCGAGCGATCACACGAAGCGACGAGGAGCACACCTAGAGCCTCAAGAGGGGCACGAACGTACCCCAAGGTAGGCAAAAGACAGCCAGCATCACTGGGCATGTTGTGTCCATGTGTCGTGTTTCTCGAATTTGTCAGCGTCAAGTCGCCTCGGGAACGCTTCAGCATGCCTCAGTGCGTCCAAAGAAATCCCAAAACATATCCTACGATGATGCCACGAGCTACCAAAAAGGGGGACAAGCCCCCAAAGGGGTGAGGCATACGCATCGTTCAGGTACCAAGAACATGACGGATCAAGATGAGATGATTCACGGCTCACATCGCCAGAAACAGCATCTGGCGAGCCGCGCGGCGTCTCGCGTGGCGGCACAGCGGGGAGCCACTATCCGAACCGCTCGGATGCGACCCCCCGTGCGCTCGAAATTGTAAGGGTGCCCCCTCGTTTCTCGATCCCTGCTGGCGGTGCGCACGAGGGGGTGGAGGGACGGGGGGAGGGCCTCTTAGAAGGAGGCTGCTTCCTAGAAGGCGCTGGCCTTACCTCTGCAGATAAGGCCCGCGCCTTATCAGAAGCAGGGATGCTTCTCAGAAGCCCTCCCCCCTCCCACAACCCCCCCCTCTGCGCGTGGCCGACTCTGGCGGGAGAGGGGGCACACGATTTCCTGCCCGACATCCGGTGGCTTCCTGGGCGCTTCCCTGGGGCTCGAGTGCCTCGGTGATGCGGGGCCGGCCGCGCTGCCCAGAGGACGAGACATGGAAGGGCGGCGCGGGGAAGCCCGCCAGCCCTCTGTAAGGCAGGACCACCTGAACCGACTTGTACACATGCACTCGGATGGACATTGGCTGTAGCTGCAATCGTGCACGTAAGTGCGGGCCGCCCACAAAATCCTCCCTCATCTTCCTCCACCGTCTTTGAGCAGGGACCGACCGTCCCGGCATTCCTATAGTCATACCACGAAATGTTCTTAGAACCAACAAATGTTCTGATAACGAAAACAATGTCTTTAGAACATAAACCCGATGTGATAAATCAAGACAGTCCCAGCCAGAAATGTTCTAAGAACATTTCGTGGGAACCACAAAAGGTTCTTAGAACATCGTTTGGTGGGGCTATAGGCGAGCCAGGACGCTTCGCCACTGCTTGACGTCTCCCTCTCCTCCCTGGTGGGGAGTCTCCAGAGGTCACCACGCGGGTCTCCGCCTCGGTCACCAGGAGGCCCCCGGGAGCAGGCTCCCGAGGTCGCTTTTCTCGGAAGTCCCCTGGGCCCCCAGGAAGGCCCACAGAAGAGCGACAGACGCCTTAAGAAACCTCGGTGCTGACCCTCCCCCCCCCTCGAGGGCGCGCACACATGGCTTCGCGATCCATGGATTTGGCGCGCGGTCGCCAAATCCATGGATCGGAGCAGGTGCCCTCCCCAAAATGCGGCCCGTGCCGCCTCGCTCGGCCCCTTGACCCACGTCTGCGATCGCCTGACCCCCTCCTCTTCCGCCTTCCCGTCTCCGCCCCCCCCCCTCCCCCCCCTGCAGAAGCCGCGGCGCGGGCCTGTCGCAGACGCCCGCGCTTGCACCCGCACTGACCACGCAGGTGGCAAAAGGGCACCCGGCGTCGCGCAGTATCCGGCGCGGCGCGCGCCGCGGCCGGGGCCGCGCGCTCGGCCGGGAGCGTCGCCTCGGCCCCCATACGCCGTCTGCAGCCGGCGCAGCGTGGCCGAGTGCAGGGCCGCCGACAGTCTCCCTCTTACCTCAGGTCGGGCATGTCCTCTTACAGGCGGATTTCGAACGAAAAATCATAGCTGGTCAAAAAGTATCCCAAAAAATCAGAAAGGTAGTTGAAACGTCGTCCACCCACTGTTTTTTTGACAATTGCTGTGTGTTCCTCCTGTAGAGGGACACGCCCAACTTACCTCTTACCTCCTCCGTTCTCTTTCCTGGACGCTCTCCCTTCTCCCCGTCCTGTTTGACGGCCCCGTGCGCGGCCACAATGACGTCCACGGTGTTCGACATCGCCAGCAGCTTGGCCGCCAGAGGGAACTGGAAGGCGTCGGGGATCTCACGGGGCGCGGGGGGCGGCCTCCTCCCCGTGGTCGTTTTCGGTTTCCTCGTCGACCCCCCTCCCTGACCAGCCACGAACTCATCCCCATCTCTGAGCTCGACAAGCCCAAGGAGACGACAGTCTTAGGGATGTACCTTCAGAAACTGAGCAACTCCTGAAGATCGGCATCGAAATCAGGTGATGCCCATCATAAGGACAGGCTGGCGATTCGTTGCTACTCATCTGCCCCTCCCCTCCCGCTCCTCGTCAACATCCTGGTCCTCATCGTCGTCTCCTCCTCTCCACCTCTCACTGTTCCTCGCTTTTCCTCTCGCCCCTGCCACTTCCAGAGAGAAAAAGAGGGGGAGCGGGCAGGGATGAATGGGAGGGACGGAGGAGGATTGGCTCAGTCTGGGCCTCAGGGCCCGTGGAGGAAGCCGAAGAGCCCAAAGACAGCGAACAAAAACATCAGGACCCGTTTCCTTCGGGACCCCTCTCCTTCGTGGCGAGGACCCCTTCCTTCTGGAGGTTCGGGGATCTACGGATCCGGGTCAATCCAAACCCAGGTCTGTAAAACTCTGCGGGATCCTGCAGGACCCTGGGCGCCAACCCAGGTCAGTGCACCCCTGGCTCTGCAGGATACTGTACAATCCAGTGCTCTGGCTGACCCCCGTTTACACTGACCCTCGTCTCAGGGCTCCCGAAAGGTCTCGTCGACCCCTTCGCTGGAACCGCTGCTTCATCCGTACTCGTTGGTTGACCGCCCCTGGAGGCCCAGGATAGCAGAACACCTCTTCCAGCGTTGTTCTGTCGACTCGAAGGGGCATGGGACGGATGAGGACAAGGAACGGCAACAAACAGAGCAGGAAAGGTGTACTGGCAGTGGGCAAAGATGATAAGGGGAGGGAATGAAGAAAGATTGTCTTGAACCATCCTCCTCCTCCTCCTCCTCCTCCTCCTCCTCCTCCAACTCCCCTCCTCCTCCTCTCCTCCTCTCCTCTCGCCTCCTCCTCCTCCTCCCCTCCTCCTCCCCTCCTCCTCCACCTGCTGCTCCTCCTCCTCCTGCTCTCTCCTCCTCCTCCTCCTCGTCCTCTCCTCCTCCAATTGCACTCCTCCTCCTCCTTCTCCTCCCCGCCTTCTCCTCTTTCCTCTCTCACCTACTTCTCCTCCCTCCTCTCCTCCTCCTCCTCCTCCCTCCGCCTCCTCCTCCGCCTCCGCCTCCCCTCCTTATCCTCCTCCTCTTCCTCCTCCTCCTGCTCCTCATCCTTCGCCTCTCCTCCTCCTGCTCCTCCTCATTCTCCGTCTCCTCTCTCCACCTCCCCAATCCTCCTCTTCCTCCCCCTCCTCCTCCTGCTCCTTTTTCTCTCCTCCATTCCCTTCTCTCCTCATCTTCCTCCTGCTCCTGCTCCCTCTCTTCCGCCACTTCCTCCTCCTCATCCTTTTCCTCCTCCTCCTCCTTCTCTTCCTCCTCCTCCTCCTTCTCCTCTCCTCCTCCACCTCTCCTCCTCCTCCACCTCCTTCTCCTCCTCCTCCTCGATCGCCTCCTCATTGTCCTCCTCCTCCTCCTCCTCCTCATTCCCTTCATCCTCCTCCTATTCGTTCTCTGATTCCTCTTCGTCTTACTCATCGTCGTCTTATCATTAAACACATGAGTCGTCTTGTTATTCCTGTTGTCAGTATTACTAGACATACTAGTAATCGGTATCAGCATTCGTATTACTAGAATATTATTACCATTCGTATTACTGCTAGTGTTATGATCCATGTTCTCACTATCATTAAATATAATACTGTTAGCCAGATACGTATTCTCACACAAGTCCTTCGTACCTGCCGTGTTCTCAATCTTATCCTGCTTTTCCTTCTCCTCCATATCGGCCTTATCATCCTTACGTATCCTTCTCCTCCTCTTCCTCCTCCGCCATCTCCGCCTCCGCCTTGGCATCCGCCTCCGCTTCCGCCTCCGCCTCCGCCTCCGTCTCCGCCTCCGCCAACGCCACCGCTTCCGCCTCCGCCTCTGGCTCCGCCTCCGCCTCCGCCTCCATCTCCACCTCCGTCTCCGCCTCCGCCTCCACCTCCACTTCCGCCTCCACCTCCGCCTCGGCCTCCGCCTCCGCCTCCGCCTCCCTCTCCGCCTCCGCCTCCGCTGCCGCCTCCGCCTCCGCCTCCGGCCTCCCGCCTCCGCCTCCGCCTCCGCCTCCGCCTCCTCCCCATCCTCGTGCTCCTTTTCCTCCTCCTCCTCCTCCTCCTGCTCCTCCTCCTACTCCTCCTCCTCCACCTACTCCTCCCCTTCCTCCTCCTCCTCCTCCTCCTCCCCTCCCCCCCTCCTCTTCCTCCTCCTCTTCCTCCTCCGCCACCTCCTTCATCATTCCTTATCATTATGAATAACTCTTCGCTGTCGTCGCACCCCTGGGCCAGTCGAAAGGGCGGGCTGGGCGTTTCGCCTGACACTTCCTCACCATGTATGAACCTGAAGCTAAAACATTGGCAACAGCTTCACAGATGGAGGGTGTGGCTTTCGCCTTAGCGCCGTTCTCAATAATTCCATGGATTGAAGGCGGGCCGCTTCTAAAATGTTGATCTCGACCTCATGCCGCGCTCACTCACGTGAAACATTTGCAAGAGTTTGACGGATTTCGGGCAGGTGGTTTTCAACATGTGGCTCTCGCCTCACCGCTACGCAAATTAAATTATGTTTTAAACCTGAAGGAGTTTCACGGATTGAGGGCGGGTGGTTTCCAACATGTGGTGCTCGCCTTAGCGCCGCGCATACGTATTCGTTTTGAACAATTGATAAGGCTTCACGGAGTGAGGGCGGTTCATTTCAAAACGTGGCTCTCGCCGTAGCGCCGCGCACTTTCGTTTTGAACATTTGCCAGGCTGCACGGATTGAGGGCAGTTGGTTTTCAAATTCGGCTCTCGCTGTCGCGGCGCACACACTCGTCATAAACATTTGAAGGGAGTTGCACGGACTCCCATGAACAGCGGGCCAGAAATAATGGTTTGGACGGACCCAGGATTGTGAGGGCGCACCTGATACGTTGATCCGCGGTGTTGAAGCCGCGGAAGCGGTGTTCTGGCACGATTCTGGATCGTCAAAACGCAACAGCCATGTTGATTCGTGGCGCTGGAGTCCCGAGAATGGTGTTCTGGCACGCTTCAGGGTCTTCAAACGGTTGTCCCCCAACGAAGCAGCTCCCTCAGTGGCAATGAACCCTTGTACTAGGCCTATGAAGCGGGAGCTTGGAGGGAGGGTCTATTCCAACATCGTTGACGAGTCTTGGGCTTGCACTGGTCCTCCTCCTCGTCTTCCTCCTCCTCCTCCTCCTCGCCCTCTCCTCCTCCCTTCCTCCTCCCTTCCTCCTCTCTCCTCCTCCTCCTCCTCCTCCTCCTCCTCCTCGCCCCTCCTCCTCCTCCTCCTCCTCTCCTCGCCCTCCTCCCTCCTCCTCCTCCGGAGACCTCTCGGCGAGAGGGCCCTCGACGGCCTGCCTCCCGCAGCCTGCGTCGGCCACTGGCGGGGGTGCGCAGCCCGTCCGGCCCCCCGGCGCTCGCCCGCCGCGCACGGGGCGAGCGCGAGGCACGGCGCCTCTCCCGAGGACGCTCCGCTTCTGCGGTGCTCCGCCCCGGCTCCCTCCCCCCTCCTCCCCGAGGTCCTCCCCTGCCCCAAGGCACAATGGCGCGATGGATGGTACCATGATGAAAACGCTGTTCTCACACGCGTACTGCAGAACGGAGGCTCGCTTGAAGCACGGCCTAAACACAATCGTGACGATACCATCACGCAACCCGCCACCGTGCCCCTGCCCCATCCCCCCCCATCCTTCCATCCGTCTTCCATCCATCCTCCCCCCCCCCCTTGCCTCCTGGTAGCGGATCTCATCATATGGGCGGGGGGGGTATACTTTTTTGGGGGGGGTCGATTGGGCCTCGGCAAAAAAAGATTTCGTGGTCGTGGTCGTCGTCGCTGTCGTCACCGGCACCATCGTCGGCTTCGTCGTCGTCTTTCTGGGCTGGGGGTCCAACAATTTGTCCGTCAACGCTTCTCTGTGGGGGGGGTCTAGATCAAAACGTCAAACGATGCTTCTGGGGGGGTCTGGATTTGGGTGCGGTTGCGCCGCTCTTGGGGGGGGGGGTCCAAAACGAGATGTCAAACACTTGTGTTGCCCCCTCCCCCACACGATTGTGAGATCCGGACTGCTCTCCTCTCTCCTCCGAGAGCGGCCTGAACGTCGTGCGCGCCCCCCTCCCCCTCTGCGCGTATCGTATCTTCGCTTACACAAGGAGGCACCAAAATCGTTGTTTTTGTGTTCCGTGTTTCGTGTGTTCGTGTTTTCCATTGGTTTACTGCTTAATGTGTACTGTTTGTCCGTTCTCCGTTGTTTCGTCTTTCGGTTCTGAGTTAGTGTTCTTCTTGCGTGCTTGCCAGTCCGAATCTCCCTGGTCCTTCCGACGTGGCGCTTCCGCTGCAGCGCAGGCCTCATTTTGGGATCAGGGCTTTGCTCCCATTTCCCTTCCAACTCCCGCGCCCCCTGCCCCATGCCCTCTTCCACCATCCTGCTCATTCGCCGCTCCTCCGTCTCCTGTCCTTCCTTCCTCTCCTCCCTGTCCGCCCCAGCATCCCCGTCCTCCCTCTCCTCCTTTTCCTCCCGACCCGTCCTGCTCCTCCTCGTCCTCCGCTGATATTTTGCGGGGTACCAGCGCGCCTCCGTCTGGAAGAACGTCTCGTTCGTCACGTTGAAGGATTTCTCGAAGAGCTGGGGGCCGTGCCGCGTATTCACGGCCATTTGGTCAACTCAAAACGTCTGCGTAGGATGCGGGATCTCTGCGAACAAAGCCGGTGAACAACAGGGGGTATGGCGGCCCAAATCCCAGACGTTGTGGGTATACAGCTGGACAAAGAAAGCAGGGCACAACTCAGGGATACACGATCGGGGGGGCCCCCTTTCCCCACTGAGGGTGCGCTCGAATAGCGCCCCTGGAATGCCTCCCCTAGATGACCTTCTTTTCTGTGCGGAGAATTTTTTTTGGCCGGAGCTCGAGGCTTGGGCTGCGTGTAACCGCCTGCGCGTTCTGGCCCTCGGAATGAATAGCTCCCCCGAGCTGCTCTCAGAGGCCGAAGGCGGCGGCCTTCTCCTGTGCACAGAGCCCCCCGTCTGAGCATCCCCTGGCAGCCAAGAGCCTCGAACGTCGGAAAACCCTCGAAACGTCCTGGCGGCGGCATCGCTCTGGCCGCGGGGCTCTCCGGCCCCGCTGAGAACTGAGTCTGCACGGGGTGCTCCCTCGCTGCCACCAGCGTCGCTCCTGGGCCGCAGAGCCAGGTCCAGCTTAGACCCCCACCGGATCTCAAGCGACGTCTTGCATCGAATCAATCCGAAGCCTTGCAGAAAGAACGTAGCCTCTTTAAGGTCCTGGTCACGCCGATGAGTGTGTTCGAGGATAGTCCGCACAAGCTGGTCGAAGCGAGTAGGCAGACACACAACATAAAATACTGGATTTGATTTCCGGGTCTCAACCCACCAGCTCGCGATGCTGCTGCGATGCGTCATTGTTCCGGGCGCGTCTCACATTTGCTTCTCTTTCGTCAGGCTTGAAGGGGCCCCAGGACACACAAATAAATACACACAAATAAAAATAGTCACCATATTTTCCCATATTTTCTGGGTTTTTGTCTTCCCCCCCAATTCCGATATTTTCCCATATTTTCTGGGGAGTCGACGATTGATTGTGTCTGTGTGTTTCTTTCCCTCCTGAAGGCTCCTGGACCTCACCGAGGCAGGCCCTGGCAGCCACCGCTCGCGAGCCGGCCTCACGCTCGGCGGCCGCCGGGCGTGCCCAGCTGCAGCGCAGGCTGATGACGGGCGGCTCGGTCCTCGGCCGCCAAGGTGCGCCACCTGTGACGCAGAGCAGGGCTGAACCTAAGCGGTGTTTTTCGACTGCGTTTCGTTCTCGTTCTCCCTCGCTCTGTCTTCGCTCCGCCTCGGCCGCGGAAGGAAGCCGAAACGAAGGCGGCCCACGGGATCGCCAAAACGCGCCGTGCAGGTCCAGCCCCGACGCAAGGCAGGCGGCTGCTGTGTTCCTCGGTCGTGGCGCGCGCGGCCTGCGGCGCAGGCAGCAGCAGACCCGTCCGAGGAGCGGCCGCCGAGCGCCGGACCTGTGGCGCAGCTACTTCCAGGGCAGTACACGCAGGATGTGTGAAACTACCGGATGTTTTAATACATGATTAATGTATGGGTAAATGTATGCATGAGCTCGTCGTTGTTGTTGGTACTGCATCCCTGCATGTTTGATACATGATCCGCACGCGGAGCATGTATTGAAAACGGCACTGTGCAGGCAGCTGTGCTCTGGGCCGCCGGGAGCGTCCGCAGCCTGTGGCGCACCCAGCAGCACGCCGCTGTATTACACGGCAGGTTTTCATACGTATGATGCTTATATATGTAGGAATGTTAATACATGATTAATTCAGGAATAAATTGATGCATAAACTCATCCTTGTGTTTAATGTTTGATCCCTGCACTTTTTCATACATGATCCGCACGCGGAGCATGTATGAAAAACGGCACTGTACAGCGGAGGCCAGTCCACAAGAAGCCTCCGACAAGAAACCCAACCCAGAGACCCTGGGGCGTCCACGGATTTTTGGTGTGGGAGCGTCACGCCTTCCATGGCGAAACCATCGAAACCCAGGGCACCCTGTAGGCAAGAAGGGTGTCTCTAGGCATGGGCCCCCACTGACTCTTCCACTTGCGCGACCTGGTCTGCTCATGGGCGGCAGTCGAGCACGAATCCAGAGGCGCACAGCCTCTGGCACACCCCGCGGATGGCGCAGCCTGCGGCCAATCCAAGGGCGCGACGAAACGGACGGCGCAGCCCATGGCGCAACTCACGGATCGCTCGGTCCGCACATGTCGGAACCCGTGGCGCAACCCATGGATCGCGCAACCCATGACACAACGCATGGGTCGTGCAACCCGTGGCGCAGCCCGCTCCGGAAGAATGAGACACGGCAGAAACATAACTTTTCAGAGGTCCAGGAAAAAGGCGCGGACTGGCGCCGGACCCAGGGGGCGGCGCCCGAGGCACCGCCAAGGGGGTGGATCAAGCGACGGCCCAAGAAGTCTGCGAGGTAGTCAGGAAGCTTATGCTAGCTGATGCAGGTCGAAGGCCGCGCCTCCTTGAAGACCCTTCGTCGTTGTTCTCGTCGTCGTCCTGCCCCCCCCTCGTCGTCCTTCTCCTCGTTTTCCTCATCGTCCTGTCTTGACCCCAGCGACGAATCCACCGAATGGCCGCAGACAGCAGTCGATTCGGATTTTTCCAGGGCCATTCTCATGACTCGACGAAGGCAGTCGGCGGCGCCTGCTTATGAAGCCCTCCTTGATGGATGGATGAATGGAGATAGGGATGGAAGGTCAATCTGGGCGGCATGGATGGGTGTGAAGGTGGGAGGCGGCGCCTCCTGGAGGCCCTCGCCCTCGATGGAGATGGATGGATGAAGATAGGACGGATGGATGGTCAATCTGGGCGGCATGGACGGGTGTGAAGGTGGGAGGTGGCGCCTCCTTGAAGCCCGTCCCCTCACCAGGAAGCCGCAGCAACCCTACCCGGAGGCCAACCACGGGCGCCGCCGCCGGCTCGGCGGCCTTGCTGCGAGGGTGCGGCCGCCCTCCGACGTCCTCCTCCTCCCTTCTCCCTCCTCCTCTCCCCTCCCCTCTTTTCCAGCTCATTCATGCTCCTCCCTCCTCCCCCCTCCCTTCGACCTCCTCGTCCTCCTCGTCCTCCTCGTCCTCCTCCTCCTCCTCCTCCTCCTCCTCCCTCCTCCTGATCTTCCTCTGCCTCCTCCCTCCTCATTATCCTCCTCCTCCTCCTCCTTTTCCCTCCTCCTCCTCCTCCTCCTCCTCCTCCTCCTCCTCCTCCTCCTCCTCTTTCTCCCCCTGCTTATCCTTCTCCTCCGCCTCCTCAATCTCCTCCTCTATATCCTCCACAACTATTCAATATGAATACTACTCTCCCTCTTCCCCCGATGGCGGCCTGAAAATAGTAGACCCCCCCGCGTACTGTTTTTTGTTACACACAAGATTCCCGGGAGTTGGGTTTTCGCCTGCGTTTTTTTTCAAAATGCTGCTCTCGCCGAGGCGTCGGCCTCATTTTCGGGCCCCGCTCGTTCCGAATCGTGCTCCCGCTGCAGCGCTGGCCTCATTTCCGTGTTTCCGCTCGTTCCGAATCGTGCTCCCGCTGCAGCGCTGGCCTCATTTCCGCGTTTCCGCCCGTTTCGACTCGTGTTCCCGCTGCAGCGCTGGCGTCATTTCCCGTGCCATGCCACAGCACACGCGCACACGCGCACACACGCACACACGCACACACACACACACACCACCACCACCACCACCAGCACCAGCACCAGCACCAGCACCAGCACCAGCACCAGCACCAGCACCAGCACCAGCACCAGCACCAGCACCAGCACCAGCACCAGCACCAGCACCAGCACGCACGCACGCACCACGCACCCACCACCACCCACTAGTCCGCGGATAGAGAAAATCAACGCCATGGTAAGGGATGGGAGGGAGGGGTAGGACGTCAGATATGTCGCGCGCGCACCTAGCTTGTCAGTGGCTCGCTCATTGCTCCTTCCAATCCATGATCGATAAGGGCTGTGGGAAAAAAGAGACGTGACAATGAACCTATCAATTAATTAGAGGTAGCGCATCTTGCCCCACCACTCGCTGCCAGGGACCTCTACTGGGCGAGCCAAGGGCCACGGACGCGACAAGTGCAGGCCCTTAGGCCATGGGCACTTGCCGTTCATAATCTGAGACCTCTGTCGCTTGAAGATCTCATTGCAGGGCTCACCGATCTTACGGGGAAGGCCCGAGGTATAGGCCCCGCAACGCGAACAAAACACTAACGGTATATTAGTCTCTACTGTGCGACACACGTGCAACTTGTGTGTGGGGGGGGACTTCTAACTCCACCACCTGCCCTAGGCTGGGGGTCAAAGCGGCGCACGGGCTCTTAGGTCGCTGATTGCTGAAGGTGCGAGCACATTGGACGCACCTCCACGCTAATCCTGTCCAGAGCACACGGCGAGGGCGACCGCTGGAGACAGCCTTCGGCCTCGGGATGGACGGATTGCTGGCTAAATCCCCGAAGAGAGCTTTCGCTTTCGGGATCTCTAGGAGAATATTGCCCATACCTAACGCTACTTCCTCCCAGCCAGCTAGACACACCTCATATTTGTTGATATCATCGAGGACCTCCTTATGATGACGTTTAGCTCCATCTTTAGCTAGCCCATCGGCTTTGTCATTGCCGCGCTGGTGTCGCAGGGCAACCCCCGCGAGCTCTCCTTGCACATGGGCCTTGACTTTTTTCAGACTCCACTGGGGAACTGCTGAACGGTCGAGGGCACGCCATACTTCTGACAGCGGGCTGGCACCTGACATAGCCTTCCAAGGATCACGATATCTTCCTAGCAGCGCTTCGCAATCAACATGAATCAAATACTCGGCCCCGACGGGGTCGTCAACCTGATCTGGCTCAAGGTGCGTGGGGCCAGACAGGAGCGCATAAACTTCGCCGAACACTGAACTCTGGGGAAGGATACCAGGAACGTTGCCGTAGATGCCTCTGGTAAATCCTCCTTCCTCGTTGACAGAAACAAAACCCCATCCAGCTCTGGAAACCATATCGTAAGTACCTCCAAAACAAGACCCAACACTATATAGGTACTCGTTCTTGTTGAAACGGAAAGGTGCGACGGGCCCGTCAGGGCCCACGAAAAATATCGCCCCTTCCCAGGTCGGTTCCTGCAGGTCGTTCGGCACGGGGAGCCACAAAGAACTGAAAAACGGATCCTCTGGTCCTGCCTCCAGTCCTGCTGCTGCCCACTCTGCTGGGAGATGCTCAGCTCGGCGAACTGCCAAAGCTGGGCATTCAAAGCACCTGTGCCATACTCCGTCGATGGTGCCGTGCACTCCGTCGCGGCACAGCGGGCAGAGCGGCTCTAGCTGGTAGCCCCACTTGTGCAGGTGACTGGCCGTCACATAAGACCGAGTGAACACTTGCTTCGTGACGCGTTTTTGGAGCTTGCTCTGACGCTTAGGTCCAGAAGGACCGAGGGGATTCCACCCAGAGTCCACGCCCCAAAATCTCAACTGCACGCTCGTGTTCACTGTCTTTCAGCCTACGCTGCAAACTCTGCTGCACGAACTCCTTACCTAAGTCCCGGACGAAATATCTTGAAACAGAAACATACGGTATATCTGAAAGCACACAGGGGGCCCCACCCCGCATGGTAAACATCCCATGGCCACGGATAGACCATCCAGCTCTGGATATCCATTGTAGCATAGCCCCGACAGGGCCCCAAGCCAAGCATTCCCACCAGGAAGCCTTCGGACGACGTTCCTGAAAAAGGTGAACCTCATGGACCAGCTTGACCAGATCCCCAACAGCAACGCAGTCCCCTGGCCGAAGTTTCTCGTCCGTGGCTAACCAGAACTCCTTCGCACAACGGGTGAGGGTCGCGCCTGCATGTCTGATCAGACCCTTGCTGGGCTTCAGGGCAAAAGCGAGGTTGAGGTCCGCCCCGCAGGTGGCGATACCTAAAAAGCCAGCAGCTTGAGACCTGAGCTTCCTGATCTCTCGGAGCGTCCACCCCACAACCTCTTCGCCGTGCGTAGTCGCAGGCTTGGCTCCACAAAACCAAACCTTGACCCTGGATCGTCTCGGGTTTTTCAGGCTGCGTATCATGGCAAGACGGGGCCTCCCTGTCCCCCACCTCTCCTTTCGTTTAGCCTTGGCCTGGGGTCTGGTCTTGGACTTCCCAGGGGCAAAGTCCACGCCCAAGTTGATGATGGAATGGTTAAACTCGCCTGCGTACTGTCCCAGCTGACTCTGCGCGAGCTCCACAAGCTCAGTGCTGGCGCCAGTGATCGCAAACTTGTTAAAGGCAAAGCGCAGGTTGAAGAGAGAGGACAGCTGCTCTACCAGGAATGCCATAGCCAGGGCCATATGTCTAACACAACTGCGAATACAACTATCATACATGTTCAGCGAGAAATCGTCTATGTGAACAGCGAATGTAGGTGCGAACCTGAGCTCCTGGAACCGATTTGCAGTGGGTATGCAGTAACATTTGATTTCAAACGTCGCAGTACTACTCCGAGCTACGATCCCTTGCCCAGGCTCCAACTCCTCCGCAACCACTCCCTCCATACTGAGTACCCTAGCCCACCGATGTGTGTGCATGGGGAAGCGTACCGTGAATCGGGGGCATTGCCAGCCCGTGCATGCTCGAACTAGTTGCGGATGCTGTACATGTTCATAACATTGGTTTAGATCTCCTCGTACAGTTAGAGCCTCTTGACGGTTTGCTACGGCTAGATCTCCACGCATCTGTTGCCTCCAAACAGCATCAACTGCACTGCGGCCTGGGGCCATGGAAAATACACCTTGGTCGGAAACGTTCTTCCCCCACTCTTCGCAGTGCCTCGAATGCCACCGGGATGTCATTCTGATAAGGCTCTGAAAGAATCCGATCGGACGCCTGCCTGAAAGGGGCCTCTGGGAGAGAGCCACGACAAGCTTGTGCATCTAGCTCGGCGCGGAACCGAGCACGGTCATGAGGCCCATGACCAGACTGAAAGCAACAAGGACGGGTCGACTTAAAAGATGATAATGGCGAGGATGAAAGCCGTCTGCTGCAATCGTCGATCGTTTGAAACTCTTGCTCAAAATCGTGATTGCTTCTGCATCTGGAGGTTTCGGAATGATCATGTCCTGGGGCCACTCTAGCTCCTCGTCCTCCTCCTTCTGATCCTCTCCC